TGCTTCTCATATTTACCATGCTATGTGTAGGTTGGTAGATCTGGAAGGTTTGGACACCTTGGTTTAGCTGTGAATCTGATTACCTATGAGGACCGCTTCAACCTGTATGCATGCTGTCCCTTAGTTATTCTATAGGAGCAAATATTTATTTACTTACTTTTTTTTTTTCGGAGTCGAGTTAGATATTATTTTTCAATATCCATGTTTTATCCCTGTTCAGGTATAGGATCGAACAAGAACTGGGGACAGAGATCAAGCAGATTCCTCCACATATAGATCAAGCAATTTACTGCCAATGATCTGTGATGACTGCAAGTTACTTTGTCTTATGGACTGGTGGTGAGTAATGGATCCAAAAAATATATGTGTATATATGTATATATATTAACTTATTTTAGAACTGCATATCTTACTAAAAGTAGGGTTTACGAAAAGGCCCACTCATCTTTCAGAATTATAATCCACCCTTTACAATGATTCAGACACTACGAAGCTTATTTTCTCTCAACGAGTATGCTAAATTGACTTTACTGGCAAGCAATTTGTAAAATAGAAAACTTCAGGGAGTATTTCTAATACTTGTATTAGTTGCTTTTTCTCCTTGTATTAGGCTATAATTCTTGTATCAGCTATCATAATTATGTTTAGCTCTCACTAGAAAATCTTTTTCACCGTCTTATCCTCCTTCAAATTTAGTTAAAACTGAAATATCAATAAAAATGTTTACTTTTAAAAGTCACTGGATATTTTGTGCTAATTGTTAACGAGTGAGCGCGTTCAATAATTTTATCTGTAGCAAACATGTGGAGGCCTTGAAAGATGTGTGAATCTGTTATTTTCTATTCCAAATGCAGTCAGATCAAGTCCATACACAACTAAAGCACAGTTACACTATCCCCTTTCTATATTTAATGGCCAAAATCACATTTATAGGAACATTGACGCCTTTGGAAGCCCTTTGAGGATTGAACATCACGTTTCTTTTATGAAATCATGGTTTTGATAATGAAAATGCATTGTAGGTGAGATCATGGGGCTGTTGATGCCAAAATTTCCAGAATATTGGGCATTGCATGGCCCTTGGCCAGTTGGACTCTGAACGATATGATATCACCTTGGGGATCATACTTTTGTTGCTTTTATAGGTCATGGCTTGATTTCTATATTTTCTATTTGGGTTAAGCCATGCCAAATTCTGCATTTCTGTAGTTATGTGCAAAGATTATATATGGTTCCAGTGCAATGCAACTACTTGGTCTGTTATTGTACTCTGCTAATTAGGACTGTGCAATTTGGCCAAGTAACGTGTCTCAGTATTGTTCAACAAATACCTTTGACGGCACATTTGTTACTGCGTAATTCGTTCATTTTTTTTTCCCTCACTTATAGGACGTACTCGTACTTTCCAAGCTCAACTTTCTACGAATCCAAGGTAACAGTTAAGTTTGTTACTTGAATTTTCTTGGTAAAAAAAGTAGGATTGGTTTTGAGCTATAATTGAGGTGATAGGAACTTGAGTTGCAGTAGCATGTGGGATGTAGAAGTTGATATGGGGATATGGCAGTTTTTGGATAAATAGTGGTTGAGTAACTTGGGTTGGGACCTTTTCTTTTCATTACTCTCTCTCTCTCTCTCTCTCTCCCTCCCTCCCTCCCTCCCT